AAAAGGTGCCGAGAAAGGAGATGTAAAGGGGCAAATTTAAAAAAAAAAAATTGTATAAGTAATATAATAGCACCATACTAACCAGTCCTAAGGGGAAACTGCTGAATGTTAAGGTCCATCTTTCTTTGTGTTCCATACATCCCCCCCCCGTTCACAGGTTTTATAGCTGCAGATATTAAAGGAACTGGCTCTTGGACCCAACTCTACTTAATAACTGACTACCATGAAAATGGATCATTGTATGACTACCTCAAATCGACCACTCTAGACAATAAAGCTATGCTGCGACTGGCCTACTCCTCTGTGTCAGGACTCTGTCACCTCCACACAGAGATCTTTGGCACCCAGGGCAAACCTGCCATTGCTCACAGGGATCTGAAGAGTAAGAACATACTTGTGAAAAGAAATGGGACCTGCTGTATAGCTGACCTAGGACTGGCTGTCAAGTTTATCAGGTGAATTTCTCATGAATGTGTTCTATTTAGGATGAATGATGAGAAATATTGGAATTCATGTATTTAAAGTAATTTTTGTCCTTATTACTTTGATGTCTGACTCTTTAGTGACACAAATGAAGTAGATATTCCCCCCAATACAAGAGTCGGTACAAAGCGCTACATGCCTCCAGAGGTTCTGGAAGAGACTTTGAACAGAAGTCACTTTCAGTCTTACATCATGGCTGACATGTACAGTTTTGGGCTCATTCTCTGGGAGATTGCACGTCGCTGCATCTCAGGAGGTAAATGGAGTGAATAAATAGTTGCAGCACCTTCTAAAAGCTAAACGGCATCAGAGAGGAATGTGACTCTTCTGTAACGTGTTTATTGTAGGAATCCTTGAAGAGTACCAGTTACCGTACCATGAGCTGGTTCCAACAGACCCTTCATATGAAGACATGAGAGAGGTGGTCTGCATCAAGAAGCTACGACCATCCTTTCCTAATCGATGGACCAGCGATGAGGTAAAACATGGAAAAATATTCTACATTACTCTTGCAGAAACGAACAAATCGGCAATCTCTGTAACATAAGTTTGTGTTTCCTCAGTGTTTGAGACAGATGGGAAAGCTGATGACAGAATGCTGGGCCCACAATCCAGCCTGCCGCCTCACAGCCCTACGGGTCAAAAAGACACTTGCCAAAATGTCAGAATCACAGGATATCAAGCTGTGAGAAAGCACTGCCTGGTGTGTGTTTACACGCATACAAAAGGCAGGTACTAACACTGGCTCTATTCCAGGCCGTACAAGCTGGGGTTTTTTTTTTTGTTTGTTTGTTTGTTTTTGGGGGGGGAAAGGAGGGGGAACATGAAGCAGAAGATCACTTGGGGGATCCCATGATGAAATACTTTGAGTTCAAATGCTGAGAAATCTGCAAAGTCCCCTCAAAAACAATCAGAACTAACTGTGCATGGTCCTCTTCTGTTCTTCAAAGAAGATGAGACAATTACATTTCCAACTAGTGTGAAGACTCTAAAGCCAGATATAGGTTCCTGTTCACATGCTCCAAAGGCCTTGGAGAAAGAGACTTGAGTTTGACTTGGCACTGTACATGCTGAGATACACAAACAGGCTACTGACCAGAGAGTGGAAGACTATATGATTGCTTTCAGTGAAAGCTACCTTACCCGTAGATGAAGGTCTGATTAAAAGAACCGAAGGGATGTGCGTCAAGGCAATCTGTTATTGCAGCATTACACCTCCTTTCTAAACACTTCCTTGGATTGAATACACTTTTGTCACTTTTAAATAGCTTTAAATTGCTCTTTGTTATGACAAGTGACACTGTGACAGAAATAAACATATTTTGAAGGTGTACACGTTTCGATTGTGGTGATACCATTTGTAGACACTGAAGAAAAGGTAAATTTGTTTTGTGAGCTAATGAGAATACCAAACGTTTTCCATGTACAACTTTAAGGTAATTTGTAAAAACAAAAAAAACAACGTAATAATAATAAATAAGTTAATATGTATAAATAAATCTAGATTGGGGCTCTAATGACCTCTGTGTTTCTTTAGGCTTCTTTGGGACATGTATTAAAAATAAAACCTGCCTCGGAAGAGGCGGCGTTTCACCAGTGGAATGGTTAAAGCAGAGCAGTGCCCCCCATAGCCACTGTAGAGCAAGTACAGGAAGGAAGGCCTATCACACAATCTGGAACTGCTTCACACAAACTGTAACGTGAAGTTTTGCTTGATTATCTAGTGATCCATTATAAATGTGTGGATTTTTGTTAGTTTAGGGGTGCCAAAAGTTGCCATGTCACGGCTCATTGTTATTATTCACTAATTCCCAATGACTGTGGCTCCCGTAACAAAAAGATGGAGTGTATTTAAAGCAGTGGGTTTAGCAGTATGCCCTTATAGTGAAAGAGTGCACTAAGAAGTTGGCTGGTTCAAGAAAGCACCCAAGCCTCACCCAAAATATTAAATGGTAAATGGCTTGTATTTATATAGCGCTTTACTAGTCCCTAAGGACCCCAAAGCGCTTTACATATCCAGTCATCCACCCATTCACACACACATTCACACACTGGTGATGGCAAGCTACATTGTAGCCACAGCCACCCTGGGGCGCACTTAAACCACAAGAAGTTAACTTGTTGACTTTATGAAATTTTTAGTTCCTACTTACAAGCCGCCCTTATACATGTACATTAGTGTTAAACTATTTCAGTATAATAAACCAGTTCTGTTGAACGCAAATGGCACTTTGGCACTGATCAAGTCAGTTTCTATTAGGCAAGTTCCTCCATTAACTCAAACTCTCACATAGAAACATTCCACTGTTGGGAAACTTCATGATGACATATTTCTCCAGGTAAAAAGCTATCACAGTTAGGGGCCTTGTTAGATCATCCACAGTGGTGTGCTGTCACGACATCAGTGATTTCTCTGACTGGCTTGTTTTATTTTATTTTTTAGCTTTTATAATTCCTCAGTTTCCATTTCCATTTCCTTCAGAGGTCACTGAATTTCAATCTTGCTCTTGTCAACAAAACGACAGCGTTTTTCTTGTGGATGGAGGTTTTGGTGTGGCAGATTTGTTGTGATATACAGTAAATGCCCTTTCTTTCCTCTTGGGTGTTGTGCCTTATTTGATCTGTATCTGCTGTAGTTGTCCGTGAGAGAAAGTCGTGTTTTTATTCAGTAAAAGGTTGAACATTCCCCCCCCAATAAAGTGTTTCACTCATCCAAATGGCTGATGTTCAATTTGTGATAACTGAATGAGGTGAATACTAACAAGTCATTGCCTCTTACTGTTAAGACACGCGCTCCATATTTTCTTTGTTGGAAAAAAAAAAGAAAAAAGCAGCATGCCTCATTACAACCCACTGGTGCTGCTGAGCACACAGCATGTTAAATAGTGACACCATAAGGATTTTCCGTTTCAATTTCCTCCCCTTCAGGCTTCTTTATCCCACAAATTATTGAGTCTGGAGCATGTAAATGTGAATTTCACAGAAATCATAAGAAAAATAAGTATCGGAAATGAAAAATATCTTTTTTCATGCGCTACAAATCGGATTTCTGACCAAGTTGGGATATTACACGCAAGTAAAAGTTGTGTTGAAATAAGCCACCAAATGCAGCACAGGTTTTCAGCATTGCTTATAAATATAATTTATTAATTGTCTTAAAAATTCTTTCTTACACTTTGTACAGAGAACAATTAGAGGAGATAGAGAGGCAAGCATTCAGCAAGATTGAGCAAGACTCATGAAGCGTGCCAGAACTAGCTAAAATGGACCAACACTATCCCACACTAATCAAATCAAATCACTCCCGATAGTAAAACCAGGAGTGCACGTACAAGGACAGCTCTACATAAAGACTTCTATCATGATAACCAATGCCAAGTTTGCATAGTAGACACTGCTTTTACAAAAAGGAACAAAAGAAAAACTTAAATAAAAAAAAATCAAACATACAAACTATTAACTGTACTGCTTTTTCATTTTCAGAAATTTGCCAAATATAGCTGACAGTACACAACTGTACACACTGGAAATAGAAAATATTATATATTTTTTTTTACATACTTAGATATCTTAATACTACTTTCTTCATTTTCACATCATGAAGGATCATCTCCTGGAGGCCTACACGTGCTCTCCTCATGAAAACCTCCCTTGTCTCGCTTTTGCTTTTTTAACAGAAAATCGATTCTTCTGGTAAACTGTACACTTCAAATCTGAGGTGGAGCTATGCTAGTTTCTCTTTTTTTTAAACAATTCCTAATGTCGTAGTTCAAAAAAATAGATGTTGTATGACTGAATTCAGCCTTTAAAGTTGTCAGTGATGTCGATGATCAAATTGTATAAAAGAGGCATTGTCATGACCTTTGGGTTCATGTTTGTTTCAGCTGATGACTAAAATATTTTAGGCTTTTATCCTCATAAGGTTTCCCATCCCTTTTACTTCCTCACATATGACATCACCAATTACATTTGAAAACATCCACTCTGTCAGTTAACCGTACACCTTTCCTGCTGTGAGCTACGCAAAATCAAACCGCGCGTACTTTTACAGCTGGTTTTACACTGATACAAGAGGTCTGAATCTTAAAGTCGCACATATTTGAACAACTGTACAAAGAAAGGAAAATCTTTGTGAAAAATCAATATCTCAAGGTTTCCTCCTGAGAGGGCAGCTATAAGATAAAATCTCTCATGACCCAAGGTAAATACTTGACCTTTTGTACCAGTGTTAAACTTGACCTCTGCCTCCCTTTTTGTCTCCTCTACATACCTGATGTTCAGTTTCATATGGCGTCTCTCCATAATTCAAAACGGAAATACCTAACTCCAGTTTTTGAATTTTTCCCCTCTCAGGGCCAATTGTAATTATGCAAGTTGTTCTGCAAACACAAATATATTACACTTCATGTTACATAACTGTAAATTGTAACTTTGTCATAGATACACCATGACTGGAATGTTAGCTGCTAAGTAACTGATGCAGATTCCCCTCATAAATGTCACACATATAAACACAATAAAGCTGGCAAAAAAAAGTTTATGTAAATAATAATGAACAATGAACAAAAATACGTGGTAATAAAAGCTCTTTAGAATGAACATAATGATAAGCATGTATTTACACAATCAAAATAAAATAAAAATGAAAACACTTAAAATGCTCTTATTTATCAAAGGCCACTGGATGGTGCTAGTGACCAGCAAAGTCATGGCGACGATCACAAATGAAATGCCACATGTGGCCTGATGGCAGATAACACAACTGAAGGAAACTTGAATATAATTGATTAAAATCGGTATATTAGTAGTAGATGAGCTGCATTTAATTCACTGTCATATAATTCCTGCAATCAAATCAAGTTATGTTTTCCACCCCCCCATTTTTTTATTTATTTTTTCGCTTTGTCCGTCTGTCCAGAAAGAAGCCCCAACAGTCTAAAATAGACACTTCTGGGTTGGAGGTTGTGGTCAACTGCTGGTTGTTAAGTAATAGAGAAGCAGCATTAGTGCAGATTATGTTGAGACTCTCAGTGGTTTGAGATGCACTTGTAGTTTTGAGTTTGCCGTTCCTGTTTTTCCTGTCTGGATCGTGTTTTTTTTAATGTATTTATTTATTTATTTTAAAAATGTGAAAAAGCAATGATAAAATAAAAACAAAATAAAAGTCTTAGATGCTTTACTGCAATGTACTGTGCATGATGATGAGCTTTACCTAATAATCATTATATGATTATCATACATGAAATCTTGAAATCTTACCATAAAAAAGATTATTAAAAAAAATAAGAAGTTATTCTTGCATCCTTCAGCAGCATAATTATCTTTGGACTGGCTTTTTGAATTAAAAAAAGAAGAAAAGAACATTAGAGGCATTGGAAGCAAGTCAAATTGCTTTTGTGTTCATTTTTCTCTGACCTGAAAGATTTTGATGGTATTTTTGAAAAAAGCCTTAATCTTAATCAACATCCAATTGGAACCATCTTTATGATAATAACCCAAAGGGGACAGTTGTTGTTGTCTCGGGCTTGTTTCTGGTCAGGACCCTTGATTGACAGTCACTTTGTACTCATTCTTGTATCAGGAAATGATCCACACATATGGACAGCAGAATTCATAGAGCGTTCCCTAAGAAACGATATAAAGACGACAAACTGTACTGGCAAACACGTACAGCCGAGGCTCACAAGAGAGGACTCACTTCTTTATCCCCCTCTCTCATTATCTGTTTTCTGTTCAGATGATCACCTGCCATCGCTTCCATCATTTTATGTTTATGTCCTCCCTCTCTTTTGTAATCAGTTTAGCTTCGCTCTGTGTTTGCGCCCATCTTTCTTAAGAGTCTCTAACTCACTCTCTCCGTTTCCTCACTCTGCCTTCTCCCACTCTTCTGTAATCAGTTTACCTTCTTTCCCCTTATGATTCTGTTCCATTCCTACAGAGGTTTCCAAGGTCAGTACCTCTCTGCTGCTTCTTGTTCTTTGCTTCTCCTTGTTCAATATTAAAGTAACAACAAGAGAACAACCGGTGTTACTATGGACAAGCTTTTTTTTTTTTTTTTTTTTTTTTTTTTTAGGCGTGTGTATGTTTTTCTGTGTTCCTGATAGATAGGTAGGGTTATCTCTCTTTCAGTCACATACGACACTGCAACATTTCGCAAATACACATACAAAGATACATAGATAGTTCCAGCACACAGCAGTTAAGGTGCCTCTCCTATCTGTTACCATGTCGGCATGATTACCATGGTATTTAATCGGTGCTCAGTCACCACAGTGGCAACTTTTCTGTTGCTAATTGGTTTGTTGCCCTCGCTGCAGGATCAACCATCGACACTTCACGCGTAATCATCTCCAGACCTCTACCATTGTCATGGTAACTGCAGTGTTTCGTCAATGTTCCGCTGTCATGGAGGCAAGGCTACTGTCGTGGCGACCCATTTCTTCCAGCACAGTGGCCAGTTCATTTAGGTCTCCATCAGGGAAATGTTGGGCCTCCCAGAGATCCAGGATTACGCCTGTTGGACTGGACTTGGTGGCAAAGTAGTTCAGGTATCTGAAATGAACATTAAGGAGTGAGGGGGTGAGTGACAAAGCATAGATAAGTCAATATTATGCAACAGACAAAGATGAATTCCGATTCCAAATTATTTTGAAAAGATTAAATTGGAATATTTGAAATTTGCTCTCTGAAAAGCATGGGCAGTGAATGACTCAGCAGTGTGACGTGAATGGCTTTATTGTCTAATCGCTAAGACAGATTTCATCCAAAACTTTAAAAGATGTGTCAGGGAGGGTTTCAAATACACTTGCTGGACACTCAGTACAGACAGTTTGACCCTCCTCATTGAGAAAGCACACATAAGATGTGGAGAAAGTAAAACAAGCCTATGTTATCTAATGTGATGTTAATGTCATTATGAATTTTGATATTTAGACAGAGGTAAAATAAATAAATAAATAAAATATGGAACGACCATTTTTCTCTAGCTGAACCATTTTCCATGATTCACATTGTGAATGCATAATATGTAATGATTGATGCTGATTATTTTATCCGCCCATGTGGGATGTGTGATGAAAAAAAAAAGCTTTTGAATGTGAAATTCTAAGTGCATAACATATAATATAAAACATTCTGAAACTTCTATTTAACAAGGTGATGAATTATTTCCCTCTTCAAGACTTGAGACTATCGCACAATAAAGCAGCACAGACAGAAGAACTTACTATAAAGAAATACACTTTATCGGGTCCTCTATAGTATACCATTTGCTATTAGCTGTGGTGTAAGGAAGCATAAATGAAATTTGACAGGTTAATTTCCTTTTTTTTGGACATTTTTATTACCTATGTTCACTTCAAAATATTTTAGACAAATGTGGGGGAAGAAAATGTTATTGCATTAGAACTAAACCGTGGCGAGTCAAAGTACACAGTGGCTGCAGAGGAAAAGTCTGAGACATCTGTGACAAAAATCTCAATTTCTTCTTTAAAGTGCAAAAGCCAGAGATTGAGCTTCACGGGGTAAAACCGAAGCTTTTTGTTCTTCTGTAAATCCTGTGATTGTACTGTTGGCATACTCTGGCGAGCTTTGGTGCTGTTTAAATGCAACCACAAACATCCCTTCATCCCCATACTCCTCATTTTAATCGGTTTCTCTCCTTATAGACTTTCTTAATTTTTCACAGTTCTCTCGTTCAAAACGTCTAATAAATAAATTCCTATTACTTTCTCTCCAACTTTGTTTCCCTTTGTTTCATGTTCTGCGTCAGACTCCATCTGCCTGCAGTATGCGATAAGGAGTATCCTGCTGTTAAATGAACTCGACAGCTAAGATTGGCCTTTTCTTTTTTGTGTGAGTTTCCAGCATTTGTTTTAAAGCCATTTCACTGCATTGGATCAAAACTCAAAAGTGTTTCTGCGTGTGCCAGAGTGGGTACATTTGAGGTCTCATCATTTATATATACATGAAAAGGTTATGTAAGGAATAAGGACTGTGACCGCAGATCGTGAGTAACACTAAGAAGTAAAATGGAAATGACGTAGCAGCCACTAGAGCAGAGGGGAGAGAAGATGATACCCCTTTGTTAGACCTTTTCATCGTGGTCCTTTTGAAGAGTACCTTTTTAAGTGGAAATGTGGAAGTAAACAACAATTTGGCTAGCTTTTTCGCCCACTGATGAGGAATATTTGGTGCCCACATCAACACACTGCTTCATGAGCTGGCTGCCTGCTGGGACAATGATGTGCACTTGTGCCCAATTATCCTCTCAATATCTGGCTATGCTTCGGTAGCTGCTGGTAAACGAACCTCCAGTCTAAATCATTAGGACACACATCTGCACACAGAGTTTCTGCGGATGTTACCTGTGAGTTAAATCCAAAGAGGAAATGTCCTTTTAATTTACTAATCAGGAGTCCAGCAGTGCTGCTTTGCCCAAGAGAGATTCTGAAGAGATGCAGTTTCAAAATACTGAAAGGTGTTCAAGGACTTGATCAGTTAATTTCTACTGAAGTGCAACAAGTGATTCTCTGTGATTTTCTTCTGGTGAAGAGATGAAACAGGCTATTATTAAGCCTGAATGAGGACTCAAATCAAGTAAAACAACTAAGAGAAGCATCCATAAAACAAATGCCAAGTGTCACCTGTCAAGGTTGAGTTTGTGGGCCAGCATCCTCCAGTCATTGCCTCTGGTCTGTGGTGCATCCAGGCTTCCACACAACTTCTGTCTGATGGATAAAGGAATCCGAAAGGCGTTGGGCCCCACTAAAGTCGTAATGTTACTGGCAGGGTCCATCAGGGATGTGTCTATACAGTGGACCTCCTGAAAAGACAGAAAGAAACTGGTCAGTTGTTATTTTAAAGGCTCACTCTCTCTCTTTGTTTGTGTAATTCCAACAAGCTTGAAAGTCAATGTTTGGTATGGCCACCGTTATTCTTCAACAGATTTTGAAGTCTCTTATGCAAGCTTTCTTGTAATTTCTTTAAGTAGTCTTCAAGAATAGTTTTCCTGGCATTCTGAAGAAGATTCAAAGCTCTTCTTTGGATGTTGGCTGTCTTTTGTTCCAGTCAAGATGTTTTAGCCATGCTGCTTCAATAATGTTGAGGTCCGAGCTCTGAAGAGGCCAGTCCATAAGTGACAGAGTCTCTATCCAGGTATGCTTTCAGTGTATTGGCAGGGCATTTGGGATCAATCTCATGCTGAAAAATGAAGCCAATCAGATGCTTTCCACTTGATACTGCATAGAGGGTCAATCAATGTCTGATGGTACTCTTCTGTTTTCAGTTTTGATAAGATCCCCGACATTGCTAGTTGTAGCACTAGTTGCACATGCTGATGATGATCTGAAGCAAAGATTTAAAATTTGCTTTCACCACTACATAAAACCCATGATGAGACTGTTTCAGTGAACAGCAGGGGAATCAACTGGGAAGACAGATGCATCTCTCAGGTCCTGTGTGTCCTATTTGTTGTTGTTTTTTTTTTGGCCTACCACTTCTTTTGTTCTTTACTTTCCTCAGTTTTTTTTAGGACAAACTGTACATCATCGAGTCACACCAAATTTTCAGGTAATAGTTTTTTTGCGAATCACCTTATTGGTGCATAAATACCATTTTCTGCCTGTTAAACTGGTTGGCATTTTTCAGAGTTTAAACAAATGAAATGAGGGAAATGAGTTTTTGTGACAGGCTGATAGTGACAAAGTGCCTAAAGATACAATTCAAAATTGTTTTTTACTAATTTGTCTGTTATGTCTAGTCACAACACTGCTTCTTCCCCTGATGCCTGTTTGGGCTTGAATAAAGCCTGGAGATGTTGCTCTGCCTCCTTGGAAGCAAACAGAAAAAAAATGGTGGCTCAAGACTTTTGCACAAAAATTATTCATTAAGAGAAATGTTGTTGTATCCCCAGACTCATACAGTACATCTTTTGCAATAGCGACACAGGATGGGGATGGTTCTATAGACGAAAATGTGCATTTATGTAAGAACCATCATATTTCTAGTTCACCCACATCTCTGCCTGGCTGTCTCTATTTGCTGCTTGCCTTTGGTGTAACCAATTACATTTGGTGTCTCCTAAGTAATGCAAGAGTGTAACAAACACAAAAATCTGCTCCCGAGCACTCTCTCCTCTCAATGTCAATCCCTGTCTCTTTTCTAAACCTTCATCCCATTAATCTGCCACTCCTGGGTTGAAAGGAGGCAGCAGCCTAATGAATGTTGCTTGGCAGAGGGAAACAACAACAGCCACTGTTGATGTGAATGATTACTATTTACTGCATCTACTTAGCCTCAATTTATGGCAGAAAGCTCTCTGCTGCTGGAGACTGAATGACTGATGCAACGGGACATCTCTGTTGAAATAATGCTTTAAATCTGCTTTGCTTTTCATTGTTTAACATTGTTGAGGATCTACAACATTTTGCTTAATGTGCAGCACACACAAACAGACATGGAGTTAAAGTACTTAGATGTTTAGCTCAAGCTGTCAAATGTGACCCAGGTTAGATCAAAGCAGTTATGTAATGGCTTATTTCAAATGGACCGCAACCTAAAATTTTAAATCTGTTGCAATAGCACACAGTTGCCACAAAATCAAATCCACTGTGCAAATTTACATAAACAGTGTCATTGTCCAAATACTTGCAGACCTAACTATATCAATTAGTTTTCTTGCAAAACTAAAGCACAGAACTGCCAAGCAGAAACTGTGACTTTTAGACTTTTCAAATTAGATCACAAAGTTGATTATAATTATATATTTTTAATGATTTTTAAAAAAGAAACTGTCAAATATTCATTTCAGTATTGCTCTAGAAGTCAGCTATCAGCTGGGTATAGTATGGACTGGATGATTTAAAAGTGATGCAAGGGTGGTTGATAGATGTGTGGCTGCTTCTGCGAATCTAGGCAGTATTGCCTTTATAAATGGAGAAATATGACTATTCTTTCATCATTTGATGTTTAAATATTCTTTACACTATGGTGTCATTTTCATTAACCTCAAAGAAATGTCTTTTCTGGGTTACACTCATTTACAATGTTGTGCTCAGCAAGTACTGCTGAGGAACACTGAACATGTGGAACTCTTCCCGCTATTCCAAAGTACTTTAGCAAATAGTAAAAGAAAAATAAGAGAAACAGCCATTCTTCTAAGCCACTTTACCTTACCTACAAAAAAAGAGAAATTTTTTTTTAAAGTACAGTGCTATTACCCTGACCACCATGGGAGAATTTGAAGCCGTTACATTTAAAAAGAATGGACTGACCTCCAACCAAAGCCATTCACACACAGACACGCATACATTCAGTGACTTCATGGTAAAATGGCCTAGCAAAATCAAAGAGGAGCTATTCAACTTGTGTTGTGTGACCTCTATCCCTAGTATGAATGATTGAACAGAGTCACAGAACCATAGCAGAAACCCTGACTGTCTGACAGACAGTGAAAAAACTTAGTGACTTTAGGACCTTTTGTACAAGAATATAGAAGTTAGGAAGCAAGGATGTAGAAAGAAATGTCTCTCTCTCTGTATTACTCATTCAGCATGTTTCAGCATGTATTAGTTTATTCCATCCCTGGCCAGTGGGAGTTAATGTTGCTGTCTGCAGCTATCTTGCACATGCAAGCAGTATAAACTGTGTTATAGCGCTTTTGATGTATGTAAATGTTAAATTAAATGAAGCACTTTCTTCAAGCGATGCACACACAGACACACTACAACGTAAACCCATGATACATCCGGGGCAATTTTAAGGTTTAGTATCTTGCCCAGGTAGCCTACCCTGCGGCATGCAGATTGTAGGAAATGGGGATCGAACCAACAACATTCTGATTAGTGGACAGCACACAGTCGCCCCCAATATATATGTAAATTTCTACAAGCTTACCTCCTCCAATGTGTTGCTGAGCTGAAAGATCTGTCCTTCTCCTTCTACCTGCCGTACACACAGTTTGCAGCTGATTTCTGTGGTGGCTGGACTTAATCTCTCCAGGGTGAAGGTACAGTGAAGAGTTCTCTGACTGCCACTCCAAACCTGGTAGAACGGGATCTCCTACAACATGCACAAACGTAGAAAATAAATACACGTTTTTTCAAAAATCTTTTTTCCAGGTAAATGCACCAGTACTACTGTTTTCCAGAATTTAACAATAAAAACATAACTTTAGCATCTGAAATGTGGACTTTTCTCCACATTTGTAAATTTTGTGACCATTTGAGGTCAGAAATGATTTTGGTGCCTGTATAGAATTGTTACATTTCAAAGTGCATCTACATGTGCATCCTTCTTACCTGATATTTTGCAATGAGTTTGCTCTTCCAATGTGCGCTTGGCACGTCATGGATGGACAGCCTCAGATTATGTGTGCTGTCCTTAAAGTTCAGCGTCTTTGGCTCATCCAGAAGCTTTCCTCCCATCTGGGTCTCCATCTGAAGAACCTCCTACACAAAACCCCACATAAAGAAATAACAACTTTATATTTACTCTCCAGGTTTCCCTCTGCTTCATCTCACTCACTGGACCATTTTCATACATTAGAGAATGTATAAGACCTTTGATTTAATTTGCAAAATTACTGCACATAAGGCACCATAAAACATCTAAAATGCATTAAAGATTTAATGAGATATCATCACACATCTCCATGCTTGTATGTCCTGATTTTAAGCAAAGCTTTGCTTTGCTAAACGCACTGAACTGAAAAGACACATTAAGAGGCTCAATAAAACCCTTGATTAATAATGCCCCACCAGTCAATGTACTGCTGTTTTGAGATATGAGGAAATGAAGCATATCTTTAATGCAATATGGTAAAATTAAATTACTTCTATTGGCATTAAAAGATGACTTCAATGTATCATATTGCTTACACTCTGGGCTTTAATACACTAAAAGAATAAACCTATTACAAATGATTACATTTTCGTCTTTTATGATGGTTGTTGCATCTAGTTTTAAATTCAGCAATAAAGCCTGTCTAGCTTCAAAGGATGAGAAAGGACAACCTCACTCCAGATCTAAAGGTGAAGCAAAGTACTTATTGTGGATTGTTTGTTGCAACGCACTGTGTTTGATTTCAATATAAAAATGACACACTCCATTCATTGTTTAGCCAATTGTGCAGGGAAGAAAACACTACGAAAGTACCAAAGTTATTTTTTATTTTGTGGGGATTTTTACTGACCCTAATAAAAAAGACATCTGTATGTATTTTTGGGTAAGTTCACACCAAGAGAATACTACAGAATTATATCTGAGCCATATTAATTGGCTCTTGAAAATACACACAGAAGCACTCGTTTATACTAAGTTATCCGTTTGAATTTTGATGCCTCCTACAACCTTTTCAAAATAATCAATTCCTCTAGCCAGCCTATCAATTATACTAAACAAAGTCCTCATCATTGGAAAAGAAAAGCACACCCCTGAACTCTCAATTAGAGCTACAATTGCTTGTTTGAACTGGTAAAACTAAGTGTTTTTTTATGTTTGTGCAAGAGTGTGCATGGCTGTGTGCCACTGACACTTGACTTAACATTGCATGCATAAATTACCACTGTTAATCTCCCATATCAGATGGTCCCTCCAGTGCTTTGAATTTGTTTGAATTCAGCAGCACTGCTGCTTTGACATTGCTTGACCCTGTGTTGTTTACTCCTTCTTAGCTCATTTCCAGAAGACAAGAGGTGCAGAAGCTTCTATTTACGACTCTGTGAAGCCCTTTCTGTTCAAATGCTTATATATACATTTCTTTTCAAATGTAAATTATCATGAAAGCATTTTAGTATGGGTAGTCCAAGAGAGAGCTAAATCTCTCACAGCACTAATAAATGCAGCAACACTTTTAGCCGATAGTATCAAATGCCTTCGGTGTTATTCAAGGCACTGGGGGTGAATACGTACTCTATTTATCTAATATGTCTATTAAAACACAAGTGGAAAAAATACTACTTGGCTTGGGATTTATTTAGCTTCAATTCTTTACCTTGAGTGCATCTTGCGTATCATCCAGACAATAGACCCTGATGTGATAGTCCAAAGTTGTGCAGGAAACGGGCCCAAAAACAGCCAGCTTGAGCCTCTTGGCAGCTGCTTTGCCAATTGACTGGCCCACCAGGCAGTACGTCCCCAGTGTCTCTGTCAGAATGTGGCATGCCTCTGAGTCCATCTGCACATAGCAGGGGGTGGTGAAGTTTTCCTCTCCCACTACAACCACATCCTTCAGGAACCAGATACAAAAAAAAGGAGAAAATGTTTTTTATACACAGTACCATTTTGTGCCTATGACGGGTGACTGTGAATGCAATGTTGGAAGTTCTTTAACACAGTACTGTTGAAATACCATGTGAGCCTTTACTCATCTCAATCAAAAAGTTCTTTCATTTAAGAAAGGCCACCTTTTAAATTAAATCCACGATAGGTGCTGTTGTCAAATTAAACTTAACACTTGCTCAATCTGTTTCATATTAAAACTGCTCCAGACATTCATAGCCATAATTTCCTTTCTCATCTGAAGAGCTTTTTTAAAATTTTTCTTAGCAAAACGGTAGATTTAATCAGCATTAAACCTGAGATAAATGTCACAGTAGGATCACGTTGAGCAAAACTGCGTGACAACAGTGTTTGGCTTAAAACAACATATGTGATCAATATAGAGCAGAGTATTGTTAAAGAGACCATGAAAATGTAGATTATTTGCAAAGTGAATTTACAAAGTGAGCCATGGTCTGGTTAATCTTGTTTTCCCACCTTTTTTTTTTGTTTTTTAGGGCTGTCCTTTGTTTGGTCATACAGACCACTATTGTTAAAAGCTGGCTGTTATTTGAGTACAGGCGTTATTTGAGAATTTACGGGCATTAAGCCACATCCTGTCTGTTAACATAACCTGACAGCACCTGCATTTGGAAGCTTTTCCACTAATGCAAACAGCCCATAAGTGAGCAAGGTTGCGGTTTATTTCAAATGCATTCCGCTCCTATAAACAGGTTTGTTTGCCGTTTTTGTTTTTATGCAAATTGAGTTAAGAGGTTTTCTTAACTCAATTGCTTGTAGTTTAACAACAAAAAAAGAAGGTTTTTCCAACACGCATGAATATAATACGGAATATAAATCTTTTTTAGCACACTGTAAGTGTATTTGCTGTATATACTTATAGAAGTACATCAGTGTGTACTTCGGGAGAATGATGAGACTTGGTTAAAGAGGTTGTCTGTGAAGTGTGTCCAATCCCGCTGTGGGATATCTGCTGGCTGTAGCTCATATCGTTTCTACAGTTCCCTGTCGCAGTCTGAGTTATGGTAAACCCATGCGTTTCTCTTGGTTAACGGAGGATGCACAGGCTATCTGTGTTCTTATTATGTGACCACTGGATCCGCAATTAGTTGTGCAGATATCCATGTTTGCTTGTGTGACTCCGTTAACGTGTGATACAAATATTGAGTATTGAATCACAGTTCATGCGGGGTTGTGTTCCTACAGATGAGCTGAATCAATACAAAGAGGTCAGGAAGCAGTATGGTAGGAATCTGTTATTACTGGTAATCACAACTGTGGCTGCTCCCCCCTGATATGAGGGGAATTCAATTACCTTTCCTCTCACTCTTTTGGGGAAAACTTTGTGATGGGAAATGGATGTTCTACTGCAATAAAAGAAAAACAAATAGACTTCCTGATGAAATTCCACTTTTCATTTTTCTTGTTTTTTTTTTTTAACCACTCTGCACCGAGCCTCTCCTCTGAATCTCTCTCACTCTCACACGCACAAACGTGTACACACACACACACACACACACACACACACACACACACACACACACACACACACACACACACACACACACACACACACACACACACAGTCTTATGCATGGCTAATTGTGCAAAGACATTGTGTTGAGCTGTGATAAGCAACAGAAGACAGCATACGGGCGCCTTGTAGACACAGTGATGCTGCAAGACAGTCTTATCACCCACACCCACACACAAGGATGCACACATGCGCACGCACACATGCGCACACACACAGACACACGCAGTAGATTGCTGAGGTAGAGACTTCATGCTGAGAGACACGGGAGGAGAGAGGAAGAGAAGGATAGAAAAAAAGGAGAGATAGAAGCATAAGAAGAAAGATGAGAGAAGAGGAGGATGGCAGAAGCATAACAAATTGCTTCTGATAGGAGTCTTCAACCCCCTGCTTGTCTACTAGCCTGTAGGCAATTTCTGTTTACCAAATTTTCTCTCCTTCTCTCCATCTCTTCCTCTCTCTCGCTCAATGAATACACAGAGTGTATGTGTAATTCAGGTTATTCCTCTATATGCTGTGTGTGTACCGTGCAAATGACTGCATATCACTTACTTGGTTATGGCTGTGGGCAGGTTTGCCATTACTTTGTGTAAACAATTATTTGCAGACTTTTTCACATTTAGAAAATTTTACTGTACACGTGCATCTCTGTGTATTCACATCCGTCAGAAATTTCAATTTCTCATTAGCTGGCAACACAGCGACAGCTTTTCTTTTCAAAAACTGTATGTTGCCTCTCTCTAAAAACAGTGGAACATAAATAGTGCACACAAACAAAAAGGACACAAAGCTGAACGCTCACCTCCCATTCTCCCATGGCCAGCTGATTCTTCAGCTGTATGAGCCAGTCTTCCTGGACATTGTCAGAGCAGTGGTGGATGGTGAGAATCACTGGTCTGGTCAGCAGGGCTCCTGGAGGTCCACAGCTCACCACTGGGCTAAGAACTGTCTGGATGTCCTCTACTGGGGGTCTGGGAAACACAGATAACACTGAGGTGACACGACAGAAAAGAGCAACAGGAGGGCTGCGCTGTCGGATCCCAGCTACTGCGAGCTTCAATCGCACGAAGCTAAATTGGCTCACTTCAGGTCTGTGTTTTGTTTTTACCTTGTTAATATTTTGGACAACTAAAGAATCTTCATATACTCTAATTCTATTCTAATCTTAATATATTGATACCCTTAAATAGTCCACATTCATTGTGGATAAAGAGAAATATTTTAAGCTTTTTTTGCTCACAAAAATCGGAAAACTAGTATCTCAAAATTTTGGATTACGTAATTTTGAGTAAATTACTATTCAGTCAGTTTAAACACCGTGCGTCTCTCTGTCTAACTGCGTACTCACAACCATAATTCTGGGGAAGCTTGCTGACTTGACAATTCTCCCCGAAGGTGATTATCGACACTGTCCATAAGGAGGGTCACTGCTGAAAAGGCTGTCCGTTTGCAGAGCGCTGCATCGAAGTGTATTAATGGAAAGTTGACTGGAAGGAAAAGGTGCACAAGCAACAGGGATCACCGTAGTCTTGAGAGGATTGTCAAGAAAAGTCAATTCGAGAACTTGGGAGAGCTTCACAAGGAGAGGACTGAGGCATCTACTCAGAGGCTTTAGAGCACTTCATGCTGCCATCTGCTGACAAGCTTAGCCGATTTCCTTTTGCAGCATGACTTGGCACCTGCACACACTGTCAAAACTACTACCAACTCACCGTATTATTACAGTGCTTGATTGGCCAGCCGACACACCTGACCTGAACTCCATAAATAATCTATGGAGTATTGTCAAAACGATGACAATCCACTTAAATAAAAAACACAGATAAGTGAAAGGTTACTATCAAAGCACCCTCAATGACACTTCAGCAGGGCCACAAACTGACTGCCTACATGCCACAAGCAGTAATGCAGTAATTTGTGTTAAAGCAGTGCAGACTAAAATACTTTTCAGAATTGGACATGTGTGTATTGTAAATGCTTTTTTGATTGATCATAGAAAATAATCTAATAATATTAGATACCAGGTTTCTGATTTTCATGCTATAAGCCACCATTATCATTAAAAACGTCTGTTTACCTTTTCAGCTGAATTAGGAAAAAAGAAAAAAACAAGTTTCCCACAATATTCTAATTTTTTGAGATGCACTAGTACAAAGCTGGACATTTACGTGTGAGGAATAGATTACCTTTGCAACGTAGAGAACAGAAGAAAAACAGAGCAAGAACAAACTCTATTGGAGAATGATTTGTATAGTCAGCCTCAGTTGGATTCAATAGCTTGCAGCTCACGGGGCAGAAAATAAAAGGCTACTAATCATACACTCTTGTGCTTTTTATACATCTAAATGTTGGAACCTCAAGCACTCACTAACTAATGTATGACTCAGTACTGCAGCAGAAAACTTCAACATCCAAAAGATCATACATAGCAGTCTCATTTGTAAACTGAAAATTGAAACCAGATACTTAAACAACACTCGCAGTAAACTCATCTTCCCGAAGCCATATATTGACTGTGAATGAGGCCATACAGATAGAGGAGATAGATCTAAATATTAACAATGTTTTTCTTCTGTTGTTTTTTTTTTTTCAGCCCACCTTGTGTCAAGGGAGAGCTAATCCTTAGCAGTGTTATCGATTCAGCTGCTGGGGCTCATTATTGACTCATAAAGGGTTCACATGGGTAGAAAAAACAAAGATAAAAACAGTGGGAGTGAAACTATAGCACCCTTTTAACTACCTAATGCTGAGGTCACCCCTTAATGAATTACAGCTTTATTGATTTATGATGTTCTGTATCCTTTATCTTGCAAATACAACAAGAGATGCTTTGACTTTTGTTTGTTGTTAATCTGACACCTTAGGCAAGGGTTGCTGAGGTAAGTAAACGTAGCTATGTGATGTTCTGTGTAAACACAGCGGGCTGAAAACATGTTCGACTCTTAGAAATACTGCAGCATGTTGCACGGGGCCTAATTCCTATTGACTGCTGCTGATTGAAGAGAGTGTAAAATGAGTGCATGGAACAACATACATGACTCAAACTGTGTCTCTCCATTGTCCATAGTCATTTGGACCCTCTTGGTTGTATTTATCCAGGTTTTAAGATTCCCATTTTAAAAACCCCTTCAAGTAAATATGAATGGATTTTGCTCCGTATTGATTCCAAGGTGAACATCAATTTTTAACCGAATCAAAATCAGTGTGCCTTGTCACTTTAACAAAGAGAGAGCGACCTACATGATGTATGTACTTTTTTGGGAGGGGGGAGGGTTATAGAACATGTAACAAGATTAAAGCATTCTCAAAAATAACCACTAATCTGTTAGTTACAGTCGTTGCAGTGATCTCTCTACATACGGTTTCAAAAGCTCTGTTCTTTGGCTTTATAATGTAGCATGAAGTTAAAACCAATCAGTTGGTCGCACAACGGTCTGCTGTAGTTTGGCATATTTCAAAGTAATGAATCTTAAGAGCCTTACATTTAAATATAGTCCTGAATCAAAACCTGATTAACAATGTAAATTTAATGGATTAGTGTACAGATTAGGAGGTTAAGTCGGTAGTAATTAATGTGTCAAATATTCCATTTTAAGCTGCTTAACTTAACTCTAATTCTGGTATTATAATATGCATTGTGCCACCAACTGACCTCTGCTGAATGAATCACAAAAAAGGTATATGTGAATGCACTATAATATATCCCTTTCTTATAGATTGTAAGTCTGTGTCACACTATGAAAGCTTCCTCACACCGCCATACAAACAGCTACAAGAAGCCACTGATCTGGGCAGAGGCAGAGAAGTACAGACAAAGGAAACAAACAAACAAACCAACAAAAAAAGGACACAGAGGGAGATGCAGAGATGAAGAGAAAAATAAGGACAGCAGGGAACAATTGAAAGGAAACAGCCACATAAAAGAAAAGAAAATGGGGAAAGAGAGACAAAACCTACCTCAAGCTATCCTTCCTGTGCACAGTCACATACATTTCATACACCCTGCCATGAGGAACAGCACCCGCTGGAACCAACAAACTGACTCCTGCAGGAGGAAGGACAGAGGAAGCAGAATGAATGAGTTTCATCACTGGATTTATCAATTTCACCATGCACAACTGAATTACTGAATGTGAAACCCACCATCACTTTATTAAGTAATGACTCATAATGATAATCTTTTTAAAGGCAACCCATGTAAAACCTTGTCTTAAATACTCCATTACAATGCAATATTTCACAGCCTTTGAAAGCTGCTTTTCATCAACAGGTCACACAACACATCTTTACCTTAATACAGCTGCTGCTTTCCTTTATTCTTTTTTTCCTTTGAAATCTTGGTTCATCACTAAATCATATGAATCTGACCGCAACAGTATCAACAAAGGTACTTACACGCTTAAGTATCTAATGAAGTCAGAGGCCAGTAGAGGAAATATATCTGAATAAATCACTAAAACAAACATTGCCACATATTCTTAACTTTACTGTGATCGCTGTTACTGATTACTGTTACTAATCAGCAAGAAAAATGATACAACTCTCCCTGTTTGCGGTCTTGTCACTGCACAGGAACCATTTTTGCTGTTAAACACTTGTGGGACGTTTACCAGAGTTGGGTACAATGAGGTGTCCTCCTTGGTTGTTGAAGGATCCATGAGCAGTACAGGAAGGATCTCGTGTTCGGGCCAAGCTCTGATTGCGAAGGTTCATGGTGTCACTGTTATCCAACAGGGACTGAGTTACCTATGTTGATAAAAGAACAGTAACAGTGATATTAACAAAACATTACAGTATTGTATATGACACATGCTATTCAAATTGGCCTGGCATTTATATACTATCTTCTAGTCTTACCAGCCACTCAAAGCACTTTATAGTACCAGCAACATTTACAGTGCTTTATCCTGTGCACTTTAAGTGTTTTGTTTATCTCATACCCAAGAGCTCAAGCTAACATGCGTGTCCTAGGCCTGTAGATGGAAACCAAAGCTCCCAGAGAAAACCCACAGCAGCACAGGAAGAAGATACACACTGTACACACTTACAAATCAGCAGAGCTACATTCACATTTGAAAACACTACTTTTTGAAAGCTCTGTTACACGTCTTTTAAACAAGAAGAACATGAATAGATGCGTGACTCTTTCTGCAAACAATGTTAGAGTAACCATGTAATAAGTATCTTTTTTTAATAGACTTTTTATGTGGGCAGGCATTGTCCTCCGTTATGCATAAAAGCAATATGCAAAAGCTTAAAGCGATAAGGGTGAATGAGGTTCAAAAATGCATAAGGAGAAAAAGAATGCAATGCGGTTTAAAGGATTGAATTCCTCTGAAAGACTTCGCGTCGGATCACATTAAATATGTAGCCTAAAGCAAAAACAAAACAAAGAAAAAGCAAAAGCAAAAATCTCATGAAAGTCCAGAGAAGTTTCACTGTGTCAATCTCATTTTTATTTTTGTCAGGACAAGAATTACAATGGAACTGTAATCGGTCCCTTTTCTTCTAAAATTTGACTTTATTGATCAATTATGCTTTTTACTTGCATAAGTTCCTTTTCTGTTCATTATGATGCCACAGGTAAGACCTCCATCTGCCTGGGGACGGGGGTGATGCATGATCACCTCAGGGTGAAATGTAAATGAAGGATTTGATATTCACTGTTTTACTCCAGCATCACACAAAGTTGAGAAGACCTAACGTCGCTAAACTAAGGATGAACACATAATAAAAAAATCCACAAATTACCTTGGCAAGGTCAGTCATTAGACACAGCATGTGATCAATTATAAAAAAACAAAAAAAGAAACAGATAAAATCATCAAAAGGTGGCAACTGATCTGTAGAGTTCAAAGATGGAGAGTTCAGCCCTCGTACTGCCTGAGGACAGGTGCTGTGATGAAACTGAGCGGTTTCATCTATATTTGTGACAACTGACTCTAGTATGCATGCCATGTATTTGACAGAGCAGGGAGGGAAAGTGGGGCACTTAGCCGCATGTATACTAATGGTGTGTAGTGTCTTCATGTGACTGGGAAGACATGCGCAGCTGTGCTGTGCTGTAGAATCTCTCACACTGCTCTTGCAGATTAAATACAGACAGGAGGAAATAGCCTACTGTGATCACACAAAATGCTTTCAAGCAGAAAAAAAGATACAAGCTCAAGGATATTAGTGTTGGGCAACACTACCTTAGGAGACAATTTAGACGTAAAGTCTCCTCCGAGGTCATCCTGAGGTGTGACCAGTCCAGAAGAGTTGTACACTTTGATCTTCAAGTTGGGAAGAGGATCCAGGAGAGGAGAGTTGGTCATTGGAATTTTGTCTGAAACATCATGAAGAGCATAGACTGGACCCCGATACATGGCAGCTGCATTTGTTAAGTCTGGCGGAGCAGTCAGCAAATCAGCTAGAGGGGTAAAATTGACACAAGAAGAGAGACAGAAGCACGAGAGAATTTACAACATGATATCAGAGCGGTTCAGGGAAAAGACAGACCAGATAAAGTAAATCTATGGTGTTGTATAGTGCAGTGTGTGTGTGTGTGTGTGTGCGTGCGTGCGTGAAGCTGGGGACAGATGTGTAGAAGTTGTAGCAAGATCAGTGAGAAGGAAAAAGGGGGAGGCAGAAGAGTCAGTCAAGGCTGCTGATAAGCTATCAGTGTCTGGGATAATACATTGCTGTACACGGGGGCATGACCTGGCTGCATGAAGGACTAGTCATGGCTGCTGAACAGAGAGACAGAGAGAGCAAGAGACTTCTACTTCACCTCAAAAAACACTCAAATCTCCAGGAGTTAAACATGTGTATTATCAAAACTATCTCACAACACAAAAGTTCAGTTTCAAGCTGTGCTATAAGCTCTTAAAACTCTCATCAGAGTCTACTTTCTTCCAAACCGAAATAACATTAGTGCGTACAGAGTGACATTCAACTTGTGTTAATACTCATCCATGTATCTATTTTCCACTATTTGGAATAGGTATAATACATAATATACATTTATGTAATGATACACTATATGAACAATTTTTTATGACATTATTAAAATCATCAGACTATGTTACTTTTGAAAATACACTGAATGCTGTCATTTCAATCATAATTCAGGCCAAAGGCACTTTGATCTTTGAATAACATTCAGAGCCTCTCATTTGTTTTTCATGTCATTAGTCATCACACGCTTCTGATTTACTACATCTTTCATTGTAGATGTAGTAAGTTACAAAGTCTCCCATAAACAAAGTAACTGTTTAACACACTATATTTAAAAAATTAGAAGTCTGTCACTTCTAATCAGTAAAATTCAAATGAATAAAAAAAACCCTATCCTTTGACTTGTATAGTTTGATCTGAGGCTGCAAAACGTGTTAGAGTCTTTGTATATCCTGAAGTTTTTACCCTGCTCTTTCTTAAGCTGGCACAGCTGACGTATGCTAATGGAGGAATCTTGACTCTTTTGATGTATTGCAAGCAAACAAGCAGCCCACTTACACACAGAAGCACTGTCATAAACAAAACACTAGTGCATTGTCACAGGTTGGTACTACAAAAGCACTCGCACATGCAAATGTGCCTTGTGTACCAACAACACGAACACTATAAAGCACATACTGATACACACACCATAAACATGTGCCACATGCACTATACATGGGAAGGATAGGTAAGGCTCTCCTGTTGATTTCCTGTTGTGCTTATTGTGAAAAGGTTCATGCACACTACATCAATACGGTATGGTAATAAAAGTGCATGAGACACTGAATTATAGCTATAACCACCACAGCAACAGCAGGTTCACGCATGGCTTCTTTAGGATCCATACAGTACTGACCTATTGTTTTTTAATCATAAAATAAATAGTTAAGTAATTACAAATGCTTTGATATCACTCACAGTAACAGCAATGTTTTGTCTGCTAGAATGTTAGCCTCAGTGCTTTTAGATAGTTCTGCTGACGGACATTTACTTAAACTTCATCAAACTTCATCAATGCCATTCAAGTGAATGTGCTTCGAGCAGCCCTGTAACAGTTCTGTAGAACCATCTTGCTATAACCACGTTAGAAGCACAGAAGCTACCCTAAGGGCAGAAGCACAACAGAGCTTACTTCTACACAAACCCCTCTCAGAAAATTCTGCAAATATTCAAGATTTAATTGGGACTGAGATCACAAGAAGACCAGTTACCTATTAAGGAACAAATCCCGATTATTTTTTTGGGCTCAGACTCTGAAAACCTGTTGTTCTCTCTAAGAGTCCATCCATTCTAATTTTAAATTTCCTTCATTGTCACCCCCCACCACCACCACTAACATGTATGCACGAACACACGCGCGCACACACACACACACACACACATCTGTTGCCTATCACTCTCTTCCTTTCTCTATCACCAGGCTGTTTACCCTTAAAGCCAGCGGGTATTCCTGCCAAATCATCCCTGCTGAAATTTAATTAACAACTAACAGAAAGCCAGAGAGAGAGAGCGAGAGAGAGAGAGAGTCAGAGAGAGAGAGAGAAACACGCTGGGACATAATTCTTCATTAATTGTAATCGGAAATGGTCCCTCAACACAGAGTGACATGCATCCTAATGTTTTACTGATAAAATGTCACACTGTCTCTACACATAGGAACAAGTTTACTCCTCTCCTGTCCACACACACATGCGCAGTCATGCACAACCATTTTAGCTCACTGTTAACCAGTTAGCACTGCACACCCTCATCATGCACACTATGGTTTCAATGTTAATGTTCGGCCACAAATGAACACACCGTTAAAGAACACCCTGAAATATTTGCAAATGTAACCCTTTTCAAAAATGCTTTTCATATGGAGACCATAAAGTGCAGCTGACTATGATGAAAACAGACTGAGCGTTTGCTTAGTTTCTTTTAGAGTGTGTCATTCAAAGTTGTGGAAATGTATGAATACATGTTTGGCTGTAGGATCTACTCGCTTCACGTAGGCGAACTTTTACTGCGTTTGTGCAGGTCTGTGTTAAGAGATTTTAAATCAAGGTGTTTATGTCATTTCTTTCTACAAGAATAACCCGACCTAATGGCATCTTTGGACTGACACCTGATTAATACAAATTCCCTTCCTCTTCCTGGCTTTTCCAGTAAGCTTTTAACTCTGTGGACGTGTGCAGAGAGGAAGAAATGACAATACAGACAGCAGACAGTGAAATATAGCTCCATTTTAAAAGGAAGATAAACATGAGGGAGTGTCTGTTGTGGCTGGAGTCACATAGCTATGGGAAGACAGAGACATGGAGACTGGGATGAAGGGAGGAGGATGCTGATAAACAGGAAATATGATTGAACTGAATGTGCAGATATGAAGGTCGAGGGGGAAAAAGTGAAGAGCAGAATGAGAGTGACAGAGAGAGACTCTTTGATGGAGGAGAGCAGTGTCAGGTGTAAAGAGATTAATCCAAACCATCAGAGGAAGCAGAGAAATGAAACAAAATGATACTAGTGTCAAAGCTCTAAAGTGGATGGGACACACAACAATATTTCAATTGACAAATGGTCATATCTGTTGTTTTCTATCAGTCTCTCTGTGTATTTATCTCTCTATTGTATCAATCATTGGCTATAGTGATACTCTAGGACAACTTCTAGTGCTCTCTTTGAGAGAGCACAAGGTAGGCAGACCCTTGCTGTCAAGTTCCTACTTAACAGCAATTATCCGACTAGCCTGAGTAGCCTTCAGAATCGGTTTAAAGTGAGCATAGCAGGGATATTTTGAAGTAAGGTTGTATGTAGTCTGACTGAAACAGGATTTTGGAGCAACCAAGATAGATTTTTCCTCTTTATCCTGCCAAACAGACAGCTCTGTCTGGAGAGGAACTAAAGTTCTCTTCAAAGCCACCAGCCTTCTTTGACAAAATCTGTAGCTTTACATAGAAAAACTTTTTGTTTTGACATTGAGGGTGTGCTGATTGCCATCTATAAGGGTAATACAGTGAATATAAATAAGTACATCACATAAGTCAACTTGAAAGAGTTCCAGCTGACCCTGATTCTGTCTCCAACCATTGTAGTGTTTCTGTTTTGCTGTCATACCAATATTGATGGACCATTGAGGCAGCTGCACAGGCTAAATAATTTCACTGCATTTAAATACCACTTCAAGGTGGTTTATAAAGAAAATGATTGAACTTGCTGTACTGTCTTTATTGTAATACATTTTTTTCTTTAGAAAGACACCATTGCGTCGGAGAAGAAGAACAAAATTGCTTTTAAACTTGTGTTGGATGCATATAAATATATATAGATAGATATACTGTAAACATTCTGTATAGAGTTTCTGTATTTCCCCTCAGAATCAAATGTCAAACGCTCATTACCTGATCTGGCTGTCTTGATATTAACAGACTGGAAGCCTCCATTTAGTGCCGATGTGTCAATGATGTCAGAGTCAAAGTCGCGGTGCGTCTTGCGATAGACAAAGAGCGCCACGATGACGGAGATGACCAGGCACATAATCACTGCGATCACTATCCCCACATAGAGCGCCACATCATCTGTGCTCGGGGCAGCTGGAGGGGGACGAGAGAGAAGAAGACCATGTTAGACACGTACTGATGAATCAAGACCCATTCATACTTTAAATACCTTCTTAGGAGAAACTGTACATCAGAAATGTAAGTGGCTATAAACAACTTAGATAATACTTGTGGGGCAGTAGGGTGCTAACAGAGAATAAAATACTTTTATGAGTCTGTCATTCGTAATTTGTGTTTGACAGTTTCACTTTTACCTCATACTTCAATTCAGACTCAAAGGACAAGTACTATGGGTTTCATTTCAACTGAACCTTTCAAACAGCCCTCCAGCTCGTGTAATATAATAATTTGTCTACACAGACAAAGACACCTTTCATAAAAAAAAAAAGAAAATTACCAACTCTTGAAACTTAATAAGGCTGTTAATTATTTTACAGGGGGGTCCTAACAGCCATTTTCAGTTGTACTCTGGCTGGAACAATGGTTAAACTGTCATTCATGAGGCACATCTTGAAGCAGAAGACGGATCTAAATTTTTAACTGATGGTTGATGCAGATGGTAAAAGGTATGTGACACACTTAAGGATGAAGAGGAGAAGAAATGAGAAAAGGATGAAAGGAAACGAGATCGCTGGGGATGAAGATGAGGATGTAATTGGAAGGAAAGGCAATCTGTGGACAGAACACACATATGGAGAGTGCAAGTGAATAGAAATGAACTGAAAGGAGAGTAAGAGGTTGGCTGATAAAGTCAAAGGAGAGCGAAGAGAGAAGACAGTGAAATGGCGAGGAAAGGAAAGAAGCAGAGGAGAGGAGATAATAGCAAAGCAGGCAAAGGAAGTAGGAATGCACTTGAACTTCAAAGCAGCAAAACAAACAAGCCTACATATTTAATATGAAAGTGCCTGAGAAACTCTTAGTGTACTCTCACTGTTAAAGAACTGCTCATAATCATGTCCTGTGTAGCGGGTGGGAGGGGATTTGTCTGCAGCTATTAAGAAGACTGAAAAGTATAGGAATCCTGCTTTTAATCCACCCTTAAAGTTGAGAGGCAGATAACAGGCTTTTAGCTACAAACAGCCTGAGTCATTTGCTAAAGGATTTGCTGTTGTCGCATCAGAACAAGTTCATAAAGCACGAACTTGATTATGCATGAAAGAATGTGGCACACAAACATTCACGCTTACACATGCTAACACACGATGCACATATTCACAGAGGAGAGGTCATCTGTGATGCTGCTGGTTACTCACTTGCCACTTGAGGGAGCTATGAGCCACTTTTAGTGTCCCTCGAGAACCGAACACGAGGGTCAGGCTTTCCCCCTTTTTTAAAAGTTAAGTTCGAGAGAGATGTGAACAAGGTCTCTCTGGGCACTTTGTTCATTACAAAAAAATGATTCTGACCTTTTTGGCAAACACCACAATGTTGACCATCCCACTAGAAGCAGTGTAATGCTTTTGATCATTTTTAAAACAAAATATTTCACAACAGAACGTAGAGATGTTCACTTTGCCTTACATAACAGTAAACTGCATCATTAGGTGTGAGCCTATAGCGTGAATATGTCACTTGTAGCTATTTTTCCTTCTCCTGCCATTTATAGAGAACACAACGAATCAGTTAACAGAGACAACCTTCTGCAGATCAGTCAATATTGCCGTGGACTAAAGCATCGTTCCTGCCTCCACACGAACGGTCTCACTGACTGAATGCTGCTGTCTAGATCGACTTCGGAAAGACCGCGCCTCGTGTGTCACACAAGCCACACTGTGGCAGAGGGGAAAAAAATCATTCCTATAATTTGCGTTTACAACCTCCGATCTGTGTTTAACGACAAGATTTACAGCACTGTGGCTGTTTGCTATAGCTGCCAAATATCTGCTCTTCAGATTTAGCACAGACGCAGAGCACCACCTTTAAATCTTCAAAGTCTACCTCAAATAGGCTTTGTGACATGCAGTTACCAGTTTTCATTCTGATGTTGCCTGTCGAAAATTCCCCGATGCCCCAACTTCCTTGCTGTGTAAAGATGCCCTGTTATCAAGGTCCTTGCAATTGCCAAAGGGGAATAGAATTGGATAATCCTCTTAAGTACCAATTCCCTGATCTTAATTATGATCATCATCATCCCCATCTATTAAAAGAAACTTTATCTTGTGTCTACTTTAAGTTGAAGGTCTAGAACTTCACAGCACATGCAAAGTCAGAAAGCCTCAAGAAGCATCACTTCTCAGCTCACTTATCCCAGTCTCCTACAGTGGTTTGGGACACTTTAACTAGGCTATAGCCCTGTTCTCAAAATATAAATGTATGTTTGAGTGCATCTGTGTGTTTGTGTGTATGCACTGACTGTAACTTGTTTTATCTCAGTGGACTTAAAAGCCTTTCTTCACTCTCTATCAGTTTATATCCCGTCCCCTTTACATCTTTCGCTCCCTCAGTAACTCACACCTCTCTCTGACTCCCTCTGTTTCCATCTGTTTGATTTGTAGATGAATGAAACAACATGTCCCATTAGAGCTTCCACCTGCCTGAGTAACCTACATACAACTGCTTGATACCAAATGGTTTTTTTTTTATTCGTTCCCTTTTTTGTCCTAGATTTGTCTTTTTATTTCTACTTACACATAACCATCACAATATGACAAACTTGCACTTATAAATGGTGCTTAGTGAGACTCATACAAAGACGACCGTTTTTAAAGTAAATGAACAGAACTGATTCCAAAGTTGTCACTTATTTCATAGACTATTCAAAACCCCAGTGTGTCTTTTTTTTTTTATGAAAAAAGACATTTAAAAGAGTGAAAATACACCTTTATCAAAAATGAGACCTTTTTAAAAATTTGAGCTAAGTAATAAAATACATATTGTGTCCCATGTTCTCTCCCAGTGACAATGACAATTTTAGAAATGTGAAAAAAAGCACTAATGCACAGTATCTTTTCTTGGGCACTCAAGTTGTCTAAGCTCTCTGTATGCATCTCTTTCTTTAGTCTTTCATTTTCATTGTGCTTTCACATAAAACACAAAGTGCTGCTTGGGCTGAAAACTGCCTTTTCTGTAATTCTGATGCTCTTTTGTTGTCTGACTAACTGCATAATAGGCCACACTTTTCTGACATGATTGTGACTAAAAAAAGGAACTGAACAGAGTGCAGTCTGACTAAGGACTGATAGATGCACACCGATATTCACTTTTATGGGTCACAGTGAATGGATAGACAGATACGCACAAACGGACATGTCTATTTCCTGCGCCTTTTCTCCCTTACCTGATACCCCCTCCCCTGCACCTGACAAGCAGTTTCATGTTCAACACAATCACCAGCACGGCTAGCTAAATTGGATTTAGATTAAAAATATGTACCTTTCAACAAAAAGACCTGAAATGACTTAAATAATGACTAAATCACCTGGGAAGGAAGACAAACATTTAAACACCTCATCTGTGATGTTCCGGCAAGTGCTACCTGACAGCCTCTCTATAGAAGACAGAATCTTCTAAAGGTCAGGAGACACACACATGCACACACTAATAATAATATATAGGCCACACACACGCACACACAACAGATATACATGCAAGTGGTTAAAGATTTGACAGTGGTGTGGGAATGCTTGGTTTGTACAAATTTAGGAGGCATTAGTGTGCTCATACAGTTGAATTGTGGAGACATAACTCCCATTTGGGGTCTAAAAGTGTCATTTTGCAAATGTATTTCCAATTGGTAATGCTTTGGTGGACCTCGGTATTTGATTCTGATGTTAGATTTTATTAAAGAATGGCACAAAATGTAAAATATTTTACTCTTATGTAGTTGTTTTGCACAATAGTTATACCTTAAATTGTACATGTTTGTTTTGTGCTCACAGTATGTGTGTAATGTCAAATGCGGCTTAGCTGCAAAGCCAAGGTGATTTTGCCAACGTTGCTTTTTTGTTTTGGGAGCAAGATTTGAGCGACTCATTGCATCATAGCTGCTGCAGCTGAACTGACTTTATCTCTGAGGATTTAGTGACATGTAGTGTGGAACCAAATGCATCAGCCAGTGTTGGCACTGTACACTACACGTGCTTACATGTGAACAAACCTGAAGACCCAGGAATTTGGAGCAATTATACACACACTCAGTTTTACATGCAGTCGATAACACACATGGGCTAGCGGAACGAAGCCCCGGTCCACCATCACTCAGCACGGATCACTGTCTATCAATTGGCCCAGCTTTTTGTCATTCTCGGAGTCTGTCCAATCTGCCACAGCGAGGATTTAAAGAAGGGGGAAACAAGGATAACTCAGATTAAGTCATCTCTATCTTTTCTGTGATCTGCATCCAAAGCAGAACTGTGGACAATCACTACTTGAAACTCATTCAACTGCCTTTTTGATCTTGCTTGGCACAAACATGCGGACACCAACACCAACTCCTGGCAGATGCATCTGTTCTAAGTAACTGTCAGGGGTGATTGAAAGGGGGGGTGAGAGAGAGTGAGCAGTCATTTCTAAATGTGTCTGTGCTTCAAGAATGGTTGGGGAAAAAAACTTAATGGTTAAAAGTGTCAAGAAATAAAATATGGAATCACTTGAAAGGCAATAAAGCCAGAAAGTGTAATTCTATGACTACAACAAAGTTTGCAAGGAAAGTCATTAGAGCTCATGCATTCTTTAACCCTGTAACACAGTGTAATTGCTGATATTTAATGAAGTGTAACTGAATGGGACATTATGACCTCTCTCAGTGTATCCTGGCCACAGTTATGAATAATAAAATACTACCAATCTCTCTTTTCACACGATGGCTAAATCACATTTTCACAAAACAAACAAGGTACAATACAAATGCATAATGAAGCCGTTCAAATTATAATAATTTTGCTGACATTTGCTTTTTGAGCTTTTCAGCCTCTATTTATGAACCACCCTGAGATAAGAGCTGATCAGCCATCAGCTGTCCTCCCTTGTGAAGCTGTCAACAGTGAATGCAATGCAACCATAAGGAATGACAAGGGATTTCATTGTGAAACCTATCATAGGTGTGACTGACGGATGTTGTTAAGGTAAATCTACTCTGTAAGTTATTAAACCATGGCTTCTTAGTATAGTGGTTTATGTATTCACCTAACAAGGAAAAAAGCCCAGGTTTCACCAAGGAGGAGTCTGAGATTCTTTTGGAGTTGCATCAGGAAGGGCGACCAGCGTAAAAATCAGCCAAATTAAACAGAGTAGAGCTACCTGTTGTGGTGACACCCTGTTAATAAGAGAGCAGAGAAAAGCAGCTTTATTGGGACTGGATTTCTAATCAGAGAAAAATGGCTGAGAAGGATGCTTTGAAAAGAGAAATGTCAGCACCTGTTCATAATTATTTAGTCTCTTATTTGGCTTGGATGCTATGGCAAGTTAAAATAACTATGAAGGGGAAACTAAAATGATAATAACCCAAAAAAAGAATAAAAAAGAAAACAAAAAAGAAATTACTCATATACTGTGGGCAATAGGACACATCAGTATCAGCACAACTATACTTATGAAATATAAACTGGATTAAAAAAAACTGTCAAAAATTAAATTAAATGATCAAGCCGCAACTGGAATGACCCATATGGAAAAGATATATATAAATCTTATAAAGTTTGTATCTGTCTTGTGTGAAACTTGTATGAAAAGCATATAACAGTGAAAACAGATATAAGAGCCCATGAAAATTTATATAATGAAACTTGTATGTTTTGGATACTTACTAAAACAATGTATGAAAGTAATGAGAAAGTGGCTACTTTCATGAGTAAATCATGTAATCCTTATATGATTTACTCATGAAAGTGGCCACTTTCATGAGTAATCACATATAAGTTTTTACTATTTCTTTTCCATATGGGGATACTCGGGGAAAGCAGGATCAGTTTGGTGATTAGTGGCTCTCAATGAAGCCGTTCAAATTATAATAATTTTGCTTGTGCCTGCATTTTTGAATGAAACACTGTAGCAATCTGTTAAATGAGGTATGACTGTTTTTGTCTCATTTTTAGCTCTCTCCATGTCTTGATCCATCTAGGACTAGTCATCTAACAAAGCACCGTAGGATAAAACTGCTGCAGCAGAGCCTGAACGAGAGTCATTAGAACACATAAGAGAAACACATAGATCGCTTTGAAGATAAAACGAGAGCCCCTGCAATGAGAAGTAAAAAGCAGAGTAATAACAAGTGGCAGAGGTCCTTTTGCCTCTTGCACCTCTCAATTTCTGTCTCCTTCATTATCGTGTAGTAAATTCTGTTGTTCTATAAGTAATAGTAAGTGAGATGGAAAGAAAAGGGTGGCGGAAAATCAAAAACAGTGTGGAATAAAGAAGTAGGATAGCAAGTAAAACTGATTAATATATTTATTAAATCCTTTCATTCATTATTCATTCTTTTCATTACTCATTAAGAAGCACCCATACCTCTTGAAATAGTAATACCCTTGCCAGGTAATCTTGTGCCCTCCTGTAAATTATCACTAAAGGAGAAGGGGTCAATTCAGTAGAACTGATTGAAAATCTGAACTAGTTCGGGGTCCATAGCTGAAGCGCACTGAGCTCTATGAGAGCCAATAAGCTTGTAAACACAAAGTAAGTGTTCAGAACGAAGGCAAATTGCCTACTTTGGCAATGATTCAAAGCTGGCTGGCTACTCTCCAAACGGCAACCGCTGCAACAAACTCACAAATTGTGAGTCAAGTAAACTGATGCTGAATCGATTCACTGCTATAAGACAAAACAAAGGAAAGAATCGAGTTAATGAACGGAAACTGTCACTGTTATGGGGTAGACTTTGCAAGAGGTACCTCCTGCAATCGTGGAAGGCTGGTTATGTCTGACTAGATGTCCATTACAAGACAAATACAATGTAAAGCTACACAAAATAAAAGCATGACACCATGTTTCAACGCATAATTCCATAACCTTAAGTCTGTGGGTTAACTTTTTTGTATGATGTTGTATGTAGAATCTGTCCACTGTTTCTGGTTCAGTTCAAATGTACTGCAATGGCATCAAAACTCTGCCCATAGCTAGAACTGCTCATCCTTCGAGGATAGATTTTAATTATACATCAGTACAGTTTTGCAGCATTTGCTTGTAATTTAAAGGATGGAAACACACTGACATGCACACCCAGAAAGAAATGTAGAGGACACAACTGTAAGTTAAAACCTGTAAAGTAAAATCTGTATAGGGATCAGTATGCAACAAAACAAAGATACCACCACTATTTCCTTTGTCTAAGAGCAGGGTTACATTTCAGAACTGCTAATGCTGCTGTCTGTAGACTTTACTGTGCTTTCAGACTTCCTTGATAAGCACAGCAAGTTGATTGTACATCAAGGCAACAGATGTAAGACATCAGCAGAGCTCTTATCCGGTAATATAAAATGACATGAAACAATAAAAGAGAAAGCATGAGCCAAAGGTCAATGCTCAATCAAAGAAACACTGAGATGAGTAAGACAAAAGAAAAATGGATGGTGGTAAAACAGAAAACATTGACTTACATGGAATTCCCAATTCATTCTTTTCTTTGGACTCAGTGGACTTCTGAAACAATGAACCTTGGGATGGGAAAAAGAAAAGGGATGGTGGAATGATGGATGAAGGGAAAAGAAAAACAAAACAAAATAAGACCAACATCACAGGACACAGACCTTGAGCTAGACTTTTTTTTTGCTCTTTCTTTAAAATCGAGGTTGAATGAAAACATACAGACCACACTGAGACTTTCATTGTGCATCAGGATCTTCACACAAATCTGAGCAGTAAGACGAAATGTGGAAAGACTGCATCGGCTGTGAAAATCGGTGTACTCTGAGCTATGGTACATGTAAGTGGCCTAAAGACGGAACTGCTAGCTATCGTCAATCAAGAGAATTTTGTTCCCCTCTGTTGATATTTGTGCTTATGGTGAATGCTATGGATTATAACAGGGTGACCAGCATTGCTTGCTGAATGGCAGCAGCACTTTTAGTCTGACATCTGTTTCAGCTCTGTTGCGACAAGAACAGATGTTTTACATATTACATTATATATAGGTTTTAATTTAATTTGCTCTTAACTTTTTTGTATTTTCTACTTTTTTAAGCTCCTTCTGTACATTTTTTTTAAACTTTCTGTGGCATTTTTTCTCGATAAGGTCTTCATTTTTATTTCATAAGAAGTTACACTGTTTCCCTGTGTCTGTCTCCTGCAACACAACAATTTTGAAACTTTTGGGATTAAAAAAATTAATCTTATCTTTCTTATCTTATCATGAAGAAGCCTGGATGCATTCAGTTACTGCTGTGTCATTCTGAGTGGTTCACTTAGTTGTGGCAGACAGAAGGTCTATGACACAGATAAACCACTCATGTACTGATGTATAATTGAAGCGCTGGTGTATAATTGATAAAGCCAACATAGCTACATGGTGTGCTTAAAAGGTTCTTGCCAGACCAGCTGATCGTGGAACACTGATTCAGCACTAAAAAGCGAGAAACATTGGCGAGGTTAAGTGGGGTGACAAGCACATATAAACAAACAGCAAGACAAATGACAGGCTTAATGTGGTGTTTTGCTTTAGCTGTACAGGTGGGCTGGGCTACATAGCCCAGGAATTTAGGTTTCATACTTGAATTTGCATGGGCGTAAGACAACAAGCAACTGGCTGCATTTGGTTGACTGCAACAAAATGTCACAATGATTAACATCTGAATCAGTGATTATAGTAGCAGCAGCACACTGTGATAAAAAATGTATCATACTTCAATTATAAAGCAATTGTTCAAACAAATAATAACAATGAAAATATGGTGGGTGTAAAATGAAGCTTAAAATGATTCAGAAAGACCCAACACGAGCACGATGGAGAGAAAAAACAGCACAGTGGATGAGGGCAAAGCTTTTAGACAAGGAGCGGCAAACAGCTAGCATGCTGGGTTAGAAACAATAAGACAATGTAGCCACAATAAGAAGGAACACAAAGGGGAAGAACAGGGCTCTCAATGGGGAGATGGGTTGTTTGATGCTGTGTTGTACTTGCTGACACTGCTCATCATTTTGTGTGATACAACCCACACCTGAGTGTTTTATCCAAACACTAGATTACATAACTGCCAGAGCCTCCGGGTACTTTTAAGTACAGTAGCATCTGCATTCATACACGTGTGTGTGCTCACAGAGCAGGCAGCGAGTAAAATATTATGCACTCAAGGATGGCACAGTGGAGGTCTGAGTGAATCCGTTCCAAGAATCCTGATCAATGTGTCAGAGAAATGTCAAACGGCCAGAACATATAAAACAACACAAACGGCTCCAAAACCCCTGAAAGACTCAAACACTCAGGCATGCATGCGTCTAACTTAGAGATAAAGAAAATGAAACAAACAAAAACAAAGAGAAGTCACTCCATGCTGCAAAGAAGTAAGGTCAAATGGATTTATGCCTCTCAGGGTTGAATAACTTTATAAAAAAAAAGAAAGCAAGAGATGGTAGACGCGACCGAGAAAGAGAAAAAGAGGGAGTGTAGAGTAAAGTATGGTTGAGCACCAAGTCAATTACAGACCACTATCTAAAATACTGCACCCCCAGCACAATCACTGAGAATAAATTATCAGACCTGAAAACCTCCGAGTTACAATTTAAAGTCTTTAAAGGCAGCAAATAAGAACTGCCCTGCCATACTAATGAACTGCTGCTTAAAGGCCACATTTTAAAAGAGCTGTCGTTCATAAACCAGCAGGAATCACTCCACGCCTTTCAAATATACCACAAATATAGTATCTGAAAAATGCTTTGCATACAGAATCTCCTTCTAATACACGTTCATGCATAGAAAACAGTAGAAACATTAGTGCTGGCATAAACCCATCTTTGAGCAGCCGTTTTAAAGACAGGAAATCAATTACAGGAAATGAACCTAAGCTTATACTTCCCTTGGTTTTATCCCATATTCTGGGGCCATACCTTATAGGCTGCAGGGAATCTCTTAGATGGATTGGAGTTGGGTATACAATGCACCATGGTGCAGCTAGAGTAAGATTTGTCAATACTATGCCTACTGCAAAGCTTTTTTTAGGGAATTATATCATATTATTCCATTGCTCATGGCATAGCCCATCTATTGAATCATCACTACTATTCCCTCCATTCTTGCTGTTGAAAGAAGATGCTCGCGCAAGTAACAACTCCAGCTGGAGGCTTTTGTGTTCAGTGATAAAGTACATATATTTTCCCTGAAAAGAATCAGAAATGCTTCAGTGAGAGTAAATTTAAGTACATTTAAAATGATCAAAACCTGCAATAAAAAGCTCACTTGTTTAAAAAACACTTTGATGATAAAATTCAGCAAGATGATGACATTATGTTAACATGAACATGCATAACATAACCAAGTGATTCAGGGAAAAAAAGAATAAAAGTTGAGGTATAATTTCTGTAAATACGGCACATCTGAACTGCTGTTTAGCAATCCAGATATGTGTTATCTCAGACTGTAAATGGACTGCTACTTGCTGAATATAGCACATTTCTCCACTAACTGAGCACTCAAGGCAGTTTTTACTACAAGTCACATTCACTCTGTGCTTTATTCCATGCTGCTTTAAAGTGCTTTTCTAACTATCGTGCACACAGTCACACTCTGACGGAGACATTAGGGCTCATTTTGGGTTCAGTACTCCAACCAAGGACGCTTTGAAATGTGGACTGAAGAAGCCAGGGATCGAACCATTGACTTTCTGATTGGTAGTCTATTTCCTGAACCGTACCCAGCTGTAACAGTAGCCTAAGCCAATTACCCAGCAGTAAGCTACAAACAGATATTTTGTATGTTCATAACCCATACAGTCAGATTATAATCTACAGTTTAATTAAACCTTTTTTGCAACTCTTGTCTCGATCACAGTTAGATGTATCCTGGGACACCTATGGTACGCTGGGCTGAGACCATGCTTTGAACAGGTGAGGCTCTTTTCTCCTTAAAAAGAAAACAATTAAGAAAAAAACTTGAAGGAAAAGTTCTGGTGTTCAAATGCACATGTCGCTGAGTGGCCCCATGACCTGCTGGTTTGGTCCAATATCATTGTCAATCTACAGTATTTATCATCAGGTTAATTCTAAAGTTTCTTAGAGTACTTCGTTTTTGTGAATCAACTCAAGACGAGCAGAATAATTCTCCCTATTTTTATCGATAAGCCACAAATAATTTTCACAGCTGAAAAAACTGAGAACTGAAATGTGAAAATGAGTCTGTATGTCTGCCTTTCCAGAACATTTATACACTGTCATGCCCCTCTCTCACTCTGTAGTATGTTACATGCATGTCTGCCAGTTACTCTGAGCACATGGAGTAAAAAACGCCATTCTAACAAATCAACAAACAAAATTGCCTCCATCTTGGAAAAAAGCTGCTGCTGCTTGTAAGATTATGACTCAGCCCACGTTTTTCATGTAATTTTAAGATTTGTGATTTATGATGTCAGAAGTGTTGGGGGGGAGGGGGGATTTCAATGATTGTTCCACATCATTATTTATCATTACTTTCCTTGTGAAGCAAGTGTTTTTGACTGAGGTAATGGACATGAAAGTGGTAAGTGGAAGGTTAATAAAGTCATTCAAAACCCTCTCATAAATCTCCACACAAAGGCAGAAAGTGGAGGGCTGAGAAGGAGCAAATCACTAGCTAGCAGACAAAGGTATAAAACTAGAGGGGCAGAGAGGAAAAGGCTTAAAATGTTGACATAAATGTAAGGAATAGGAGGATGAATGGTGAAATGAAGGAAGCGATGAAAGTAATGAAGAAAAAGGAAAAAGAATACTGATGAAGAGAAGCTGCCCAACTGCACAGGTAAGAAACAGTTTTTCCACATATGTTTAAACCAAATCAGGAATAAATTTTTTGAGGAGACTGCAGATAAAAAAATAAAAAAATAAAAATAAAATAATAATTTGCCCATTATGTCATCTTTTTTAATCTCCAAATATTGGTGTTACTATGTGCCTTAAAAACAGTATACAGAGCAGGTATTTTGACTGGTTTAAATGAAGCCATTAATTGTCTTCCTAAGCTTCACTCACTCTGGCTTCTGTTCATGGGCAAAGGTTTTTGAACACATTGTCAACAACAAATGGCCTGGCTTATTAAAGGTCAGCTCTCCGTAAAATCAATTCGTCTCAAAAACAGACACTGTAAGACATTGGCTAGAATCGGCATACTCATTGCTCATTGCAAGATGTGATATGTGACAACAAGCATAGATCTCTCAGTGTTCTTCGAGAATCAATTTCATTAACTTAGCTTTGCACATATAATTTGCTAGTATACCTGATAAATTGCAGTTTATAGTTTCTACAATAAAGAGGCAGTTATGTTGAATATTGCAATTGTATTTCTATTCTTAATTTTACCTATAAAATATGGAACTATGATTTTTTTTTTTTAATGGATGGATATGATTTTCAAAATGAACCCAGTAATGGTCACGTTACACTTCACTCACCAAGACTTCTGCCTTAGGCTAAAAATCTGACCATGTGTCAACATTCATTGGTCTGCCTAATTAGGGTCGATTCCTGCACATTCAATTGTTATTTGAACCAGACACTGCTAGACATTTGTTTATTTTGGCCTATTGATTGTTCATAGCTATATTTAATATATGATACACAATGCATTTAGAAGAGATATGTCAGTGCTTCTGAACCTTATTTATCCACTTACTTTGCATACAGAGTCCATCAGTGCAGTTTTGAGACTGGAGGACGAGACCCTCGCAGTCCTTTCCACCATTCTTGGGAGCTGGATTGTTGCACTCCCTCCTCCTCCACTGTGTACACTCTGTTCCACAGGCTGACCACTTGCTCCAATCTGTCCAGACACCATCCACTAGAGGGAACGGATGGGGACCACGGGAATGAGAGACGGAGAAAAAGAGGGTTTAGAAGGAGGAGACTGAAGATAACGGATTCAATTATTTCCTAAACACTGTAAAATGTGGCATGGGAGAGTACACACATAAAAAGACAGAAATTGAATGCAGAAGCTGAGCACAGGACAAAATATTGCCCAAATGTATACAGATACAATATGCCAGGATGTATTATGGAAAGAAGTATTCTAAATGAAACAGTCTTGAATAGAACAGAATACCAGTGCACAGTGTGGTGCAGGGCAGTTTGTGTATAGCCTGTCCGTCACAAGGCAGTCCTCCATTGAGAGGGGCAGGGTTAGTGCAGCTCCTGGTTCTTTTCTGGAAACCTCTTCCACAACGGCTGTTACACGGAGACCACTCTGTCCATGTCGACCAGCCCCCATTCACTGCGGAAACAGAGATCAGTCCCTTAATGAATACAGTGTTTTATCCACTTCTTAACTATGTAACGCCTACCCTCTTGAAGATACCATATTAGCAAGGGTTTCTGGGTATCTGTGGTCCACTCATCCATGTGTCCCAGAGCTTGGCGCTATTATATTGACCATGATTTGGAACGATAGGAATCTAAGGGCCTAGTCACACAGGCCTAGAGATTAGCTGGCAACCACTGGTTGCTAAGGTGGTGCAGCAACCTCGAGAAAATACACTCTCCAACCAGCTGGGGAATGCACATTTTCCTTAGTGACTGAAGATTTCTATAGCTTTCTATAGCTTAATACTGTATGCAGATACAGTCAATAAAATAAGTTGAACTCAATCTTTATGACTACTTGAATCAGTGAATATGTTGTAGATTGTCTGAGATAATTAAAAAAAAATGATGATGATGATGCAATCCGTGATTTTAAAATGCCGTTTTATTGAACTGAAATAATTATCTTAGAGAAGGCTGAGTTGAAATTTAAGCAAAAGAGCTGGATTTTCCTGAACATCAAAACTACACAGACAATCTGCATCCCTTCAAGTAGCCTGCAGCTACTGCAGCATGATTTTCCACTGCTGTGCTTACATTCAGAAATATTCCCACTGAAGGGCACAGACTGACACAAATATGCAAACACATTAAGCTGTATAGCTGGCTAAACACATGTTAAATGACCAGTTATCATGGGGCTCGGAAATTGCTTAACCCGGTGTAGGGGAGAGAGAGAGAGAGAGAGGTGAACTGCTGCTGGATGAATCCTGCGGTTTGTTTTCCATGGTTTCTTTGAAACTCTTCACCTCCTTTGTCTCTTTCTTTTTGCCTCATGTCTTTCATTTGTGCTGCTGTAAAATGCATCTGCATCCTCCTGTAATTAGACCTAGCTGTTTCTTTGTTGTTTAGCATTATTGTTTCTGTGTTTCAAGAGAAAATGTGGCAGGACAGTGCAGACAAAGATAAGAGCAGACTAGACAGGCAGCAGGAGAGAAATCAGCTATAAAGTTAGAATGAGAGAGAGTTGGCATCTGGAGGGGTGGAGTGGGTAGAAATTCCACTGCTGCATCTCGACAGCTCTGTCTCAGCCCAGTGGACAGTGCCCACTCCTTGCCTAAGACCTAATTAGAAATGTATCATCAGAAAGTAACCAGTAAATTCACACACAGACACTTTTGTCATGCATTTCCTTCAGCTTTTAGGCTTTTTTCTTCCTCACTCAGTTGTTGTCTTCCGCTGTTCTCCCCTACCTCACCTTACCTCTCGCCCTTCTTTCTATAGTTGCTTCATTTTTTCCCCCCTCCTGTGTTTTTTCCACTACTGTTTCACCTTGTCAACAGTGTCAGCCAGGCCCTAGTGGAGCCGAGAAGATTGAACCACAGATTGAACAATCTATTTTTGTAAGGATACATCAGTGTCAAACCACTCCATCTCTTGCTGTCTGTATCGAACAGGCACACACGCTCAGTTATTTTGATTGAAACAGTCCTGCTGGTGAATGGAGTCAGTGTTATATTTTGAGAGAGACACTGCGTGTGTGTGTGTGTGTGTGTGTGTGTGTGTGTGAGAGAGAGAGAGAGAGAGTGTGGGGGGGGGGGGGGGGAGAGGGGGAGAAAAATTAAGTTGTATGAGGCATGGGCCTCCACCAAACAAACTCTTTCCTCTCAGCTTCTAGACAAAGCAACACTAGAAGAGAACCAGAAGTTTAGCTAGCTATTTAAAGATGTTTTTTGTTGTTGATTTTCACAGCTATTATTATGCCATATGCTGCTTTATCTATGCAGAGCTGGGAATCTTGGCAGAAAGTGGGAACATGTGGAAAGCCCACATGTTCTAATTTAGAACTAAAGGCAGGATTGGAGGGCTTTAATTGGGTGAGGTCAAGGGTGAGAATATCAAGACAATCGCGAAGAGGAAGTGTTGGCACGGCAGTAGAGCTAATTTCACATGGCAGATGGGGGCTGGCTTCGCTGATCAGAGACTCGATATAACTGAAGAAAGCATTAAAAAAGGTGTCATATCATTATATTTCTAACATCAGAAATGAAAAAGTTTAGAGCACACATTAAAAATATGTATAAGCCAAATCCTATTGTTACAGCTTTTGTAGCCACACACACACACACACACCTACACACACAGAAAGACATACCGACAAACTTACCATAAACAATAACGGTGGCTGTAGTGCTTCGTCTTTTGGCCACTATATTCTTGGCCACACACGTGTAGTTGGCTGTGTCAGAGAGACGCGCCTGCTTGATGATCAGGTTGTGGTCAATAGTGATATAGAAGTTTCTGTCCTCCGCCGGGTCGATTACCTCTTCATTCTTTAACCACTCCACCTAGGGGACATTCAGAGGGTAAATGGAGGTGAGGCCAATGTCTTTTCTACACCAATGATAGGCAAAGAGACGTTTTACAGAGGACTAGTTTATTACTGCCATGAAGTGAAACAATTTAAATTTGACAAGATATCTAGTAAGTTATAGCGACGCCTTTTTTGCAACACATACTCCCTGTAGAGGAAATTATAATATTAGGTTCAAATTTTCTTTTCATAACTGATCCAGAGGATAAAATAAGAATACAAATATTAAAGCTTTCTTGGGTTTAATCTTGTTTTTAGAAACTTTTAGGAGTGATGTAGGACTTAGAAAGCGTGCTGCTGTTATCTTTTTTGATGGTTCAATGAGGAAAAGCTTTGAGAACATGCCATATTCAATAGTCAAAGGAAATAAATAAATAAATAAGCAGCTGAAGGACAGGACGCCCGTTAGCGGCTCCCTAATCTGTCTTATGATCTCTCATGCTTCATCTTGTACTGTAAGTAACCCAAACCGCTCTCATGAATAAATCCTTGAGATTACAGATTACAAATTTACAAGCAAATTAATGTGTTTTATGAGGCAGGAAACAATAATAAGACTGATTGTGCATAATGAAATACCAGGAAGCTGCTCACGCACCAAGTCACAGGAATTAAACACTTGAAATCTGAATGACCCTCACTTACAGTGGGCCCTTGACAACAAGGAACCCTTGGGTGGCTGTAAAGGAAAGGAAAATGCCCAAACATATGCTTTCGAAAGGTACTTTGGGTGAAGGGTAGGACAGCGGGAAACTATTCTATTTATGAGCCTAATCAGATTTCCCGAGTGCTGTATTTACTGGACCAAACCCTCATAAATTCAGCCTGTCCAAGCTTTATGGCAGGCACATAAATGTCCAAGCTGTGTTGTTTAATTCATGTTGTTTAATTTCCTCCTCCCTTCTCATTAGGAAATGGATATCTCAGATGCAGAAAAGAGGAAATTCATTGTTATTCTTCAGTTTGCCGTTTACTCACTCGCCACTGTTATTCTCAGTTTTTCCACCCAGTTCTGAATCAGATTCAGTAGTACTCTTTGGTCATGGGGTGCAATGTAGCTGTGAATTCTCAATCTTAAGTGAGATGCTGTGTGACCTTTCAGCTTCCATTACAACATAAAGGTTATACAGAGAAAAAGACTAAGCCAAAGGAACAAAAACATTTATTTACAGTCAGACGATAAGCTTATCCTCATACTGTAAAGGTATAAAACAATGTGTTCTTTTCTGCGCAAAGGAAAAAACCAATAGAAATTACATTTGCAGCATAAAACAGACTATTTGGATCTCTTTTTATTTATGATATAAGAAGTGCTGTGGTCACAGGAAGCAATGATTTGACTATGACTTATTTTGAAGCATTGCCACAAGAGATGCAAATTATTCAATAGACTTAATGTAATGCAATACAAACCAAATCATGAAATAGTTAAGTTAAATAGTTATGATCTACTGTAGAACATGTATATACATATACATACATGTGTATAATATGCAGAACTATTCCAGTAAATGGTCCAAACACGAATTCTTTTATATATTTATATTTTCTTTGTATCCTGCACTAGGAAAAATTCTGTTGTAATGCCATTATGAATGGAGCGTGCTGTGACAGTGGTAATTTCATCTGAGCCACAGTTTTGAATCAGTGTCAGTTTTTTCCTGACAAAGAAATTGCCCGTGCCCTGCCATACCACACTGAAGTAAGACAGCGGTGCCAAAAGTCCCACTAATGTGTTTCTTTAAGTTAAGACAGCAGCGTTTCTTTATAATGACAGATTTATTAAACGTGGGGAAAAATAAATTGTCTGAAAGACATTTATTTTCTCAAGACATGTCAAGCTGTTCATCAATGTTTTCTGCACAGTAAAAGAAAGGGAAGCATTTCTTTTTGTAGGATATTATGCAGTGATTTTGCTGGTCTGGCCCACTTGAGATCATACTGGGTTGTGTGTGGAAATGAGTTTGAAAACCTGGATCAACAAATTAGCCATCACCAACACATGCCATTAGACAGCGTGGACGCTTAAAATGAATAAAATATGGCATTAAGCAAACAAATGTAACACTGTTTTTGGTAAAACTAGTCTCTTGTTCACTGTATTACAAAAATAGTCTCTCGTGGTGCTTTGGATGCTCATGTAATACTTATAATTTACTGCTACGCTGAAATTTCCCAGATGATCCAATGGAATGTTTTTTTTTAATTTAATTTTTCTTTTTTCCTCTTGCATTCATGTTAATCTAACATGCACACACTTTATAGAAAAGAAACAGAATAGGAGCGGAAGCATGTGAATGCGTGTGGGTAAACCAAGAGAGACAGGTGACGTGGGGGCGAGAGTTAAAATAACAAATACACATTCTCCCTTGAGGTTGGTTTGATCCAATCAGCCACCCTTTGCAATTCACACACATGCACACAGTCTTACACCAGCTGTGGCTAATGATGCAGTGGCAGTGGTAGAATAGCCACCACATGTGGTCTCTTTGTCTGAAGCCAACAGAGCACACATCAGTCTAACACGCGTCAGTCTTCAGGCGTCGTCAAAGTCCACGGTGGCTTTCAGTGCATTGTAACACTAAAGCTCACAACCCGTAGAAACAGGCTCTCTCACTCTAGCTTGCTACAATTTCAGTGCAGCCGGTAAAACAAGAGAAATGGACAAATTAAATATAGACAGAAAAAAAGCAGTGGAATGCTGAATGCTGTTTATAGTGACCTTTTCTTTTACATTAAGTTATATTTATATAAAATACAAGTAGAGGAAATTCATAATGAAATAAAACATTTAAGGCAACAGTACAGTGACAGCTAGACCTGCAGAGGTTTTTGGTGATTGTGTTCCATTAAACTTTGCACTGAGTAAGCGAGCACTCTGCATCTATGGACAGGGAGATGTATACAGAGTATATCAGAGGATAACAAATATAGATGCTTAATAAAAATGCTAACATCTCCTCAGCTTTAAGGCAAACGCTGCAATGCCAGAAAACACGTACTATTAACAATAAGGTTTTCTTGTTTTTACTCATCATGCACAGAACTCCAGAACTAACAAGTTACAAATAGAAGGTCGCCCAGGTTAACTGAATGTGGAGCTTAAGTTACTGGAAGAAGAGTGGTAGAACAATTCAAATATATGGATATAGTTCTGAGAAAACGTATTTGTTCCTTTCCCGATTCTTAGTTTTTCCATATTGGTATTAATTAAAAGTTTTCAGTCAAAAAGCAAACTTTAATATCAGATGAGGAAACGCCGAGTAAATGCAAAATGCTGTTCAAACCTTCCTAGTCATGCGTGAAAAAGTAATGGCAACAACAACTGCAGTTAAGTCTTTGTGATAGCTGATAGTCTTTTACTCCTTCTCTGTGCAGGAATTGCTTTAATTTGGTCAGACTGGAGAGTTTTTGAGTTGTTCAGAGGTGGACTTGCTGGTGTGTTTAGGATCACTGTCTTGCTGCATGACCCAAGTGGGCTTCATCCTTAGGGCATGAACTGATGCCTGGCAGAATTCATGTCTAATGTTAATTTTTCTTTGGATGGTCTGAAAGACCAAGCAATTTTTTTATACATGGATGGACAACCTAGACGCGTTTGTGGCATTTAATCATTCTTGTGTTGTTAAGCCAGTATAAAACAGGATGTCAAAACTGCCTGCTAATTTCTCTCACATTTTAAATACATTTTTAGCCCTCCTTGCACAGCCACTGTTGTTAAGTACCTGACAATGTTTTAAATGTCATGAATATTTTAGCAACGACACCACAAGTAGTTAGGGGGAAAAAAAAAATTGTGTTTTTCCTCGGTCATATTTTTATTTTATTTTATCATGTTTTATAATCTGACATCTGTTGTTGGACAACATTGTAATCATATTTTAGCAGGGCTGTCTAGTGTTCAACAAAATCTCTTAACGGATGTTCATTATGCTAATGTGCAGAGAAGTAAATGCAGCTCTTTGGTTCCTGACCTCATACTGTGAGCACAGCTACATTTGTGCACAAAGTGTTCTATAATGTATGTGGCTGCAAGACTGAGTTAATATCTCAATTTTATGAATTGAACTGAATAGTGTACGCCGAAATGTTTAAATAGATTAGCAAAATCTCAAGGCCTGTGCAAGTATGTGTTTATGCACGCTTACCTGTCTCAGTGTAATTATTGTGAGTGAATCAAAGGTTCCGAGCGTCAAAGTTAACATTAAACTGATTTCTCTTTGTTCTTTTATCTTGCCCAGATGAAACACTAGAATTGACACCTCATTTTTAAACTTTCTTTTTCCCCAATTTTCACTCAAGCCTTCTCTTCTTATCTCGTCCCCCCCAGCCCTGCCCGTCCGGCTATTGTAGGAAGGAAAAATATATGTCAATGCTTTTGCATTTTTTCGGAAATGTAGCTGGGTAATTATGTCATTGGCATCGGTGAGCCACTGTCAATATGTGACATATTGAAATCGCGTTTGAATTTGCGCTTGTTTTTTTGCTTTCACTTTGCAATCGCGCGAACAGTGTATAGAGAGCGACAGCACTGATTGGTGAGTGATGATAATTTGTGCACCAATTCCTCTGACATCGTCTTATTAATCGTTAGCTTACTATGCAAACATGACAAGTGAAATCTCCCGCAGCTTAAAAATGTGAGAGGTTGATCGCGCAGAGAATCGCTGAGCTTATGTGAGTGCGTGTGTAAAAGCAGCAGGATATATATTTTAGTTCTGCTGAGCCAAATAAGACAGGTCAGGGTGAAGAAGTGACAGCCAAAGAAAAGCTTACCAAAAAACGGAGAAGTTATGACAAATCAGACTATAAGGCAAAAAGAAAGTGCAGCTTTATGGTTTCATGGCCAAAATAATTTCTGTGGCTGCGATATGATGAGCTAAATAACCAGGGCTGCACATAAGTGGTCCGCAGGTGCGCATTCGCTGTCAAAATAAAAAACACGCACAAGGGTTAGGGTTAAATTTAAAAACT